AGGTGAGATGATAGCAAATTCAAGGCCAATTCACACTAAAGACATTTTTCTTAACTTAAAATATTTATATATTTTATTGAAAAGGTTGATATATTCAAACGAAAACTTTATAGTATTAAAGCTACTATTTTATCTTAGTAAAAGCACTGTTTTAAAACACAGTATAAAAATAGACCATTGGAAACAAAATCAGATGTGTAACTTATTACTTACATTCCTTCTTAAATGAGAAACCAGAATCTATTCCTTCAGTATTTTTATTCATTGTATACTACCAAATTTACGAATAGATGGCCACTGCACATATTACATGGATCTGAAACAGTGCAGAAACTAGCCATAATACAGGATTATAAATCATATATCTGATATATACTTGGATTTGTTTGTATTTGTTTTTTGAGACAGGGTCCACTATGTAGCTTCAGCTGTCCTGGAATTCACTGTGTAAACCAGACTATCCTCAGACTCACAAAAAGCCACCTGCCTCTGCCTCAAAGTGCCATGGTTAAAGGCATATAACATCACACAGGGCTTACACCTGCATTTTTAAAGTAACTGATATGAAGCAATAATGCCCAATTATACCAGCTTAAATGCCTTAGTTTAATCTTTTTCAAAAATTTGATTTTTATCGAGGAACCCTTGCTAGTTTTAGGAAAAACTTCTATCCTGCTTTGAGATATGGGCCAAACCAGAATAGGAAAAAAAAAAAAAAAAAGTCCGGGGTCAGGCAAAGCCTTTTTAGAATGACAGGGGAATGGAATACACAGACTTCTTCATCAGACTGTTTTCTCTGCTTTAGTGTCAAGTCAAATGCAGAGCTACCCTATCGAAGGAAAGCAGGGACAGCTGTCTGCCTCTGGCTGAGGATCAACACAGAACAGTCTTCTGAAATTTCTAGTGGTCACTCACTGCCTTTTTGAGCTATTAGGTGGCAAGCAATCAGTCTAACTGACAAAGTTAATGACAGTATAGTAAACAGTACCACTAGTGGCAACTGACAAAACAGTTTTGGTTTAAAGTACCTTGCCTAGAGTCATATTTAGTAAATTGGATTTTAACAAGAATATGTTTTTACTCTAATTAAACTTGATCCTGAAATATTAAAAAAAAAAAAAAGCTAAGTTTGGTGATGTACATCTTTATGTAACTGCAACACTTGAAAGACTGAGGCAGAGGGGCTGGTAGAAGTTTGAGACCAGATTGGCTACAAGAGAATTCATTCAACCCTTAAAAAAATAAGATAAAAATATATAAACTTGCATTGGTCATTTATGAAAGCTTTATTGAAGAACTTCAATCAGCACTAAGAAATTACTGTGTTAATCTCAAGAGCCTTATAAAAGCTGAGATGTGGAAAAAGTACTATGGATGGAAATTTATTTCCTTTAAACTGTTTCTAAAATGGGTCACAGAATGGCTTGTGTTGATAGTGTAAACTCTACAGTTTCCTCTGTCTTCCTTCTCCAGCAGCAAAGATGGAAACTACAAACTCTACAAGTAACAAACCATAATAGCAGATAGTGAAAAAAATCTTTAGGCTAAAATATTATAGTATGCCACTGAAAACCTATAGTATCAAACGATCTTAGAATCCTAAGGAAAAGTAATTCTCATGCTATAATAAGGAAAAGTTTAAAATGAGCCCAGGAAATGAAGGTAATTACACTGGAGAGAAAACCTAGTACATGTTTCTAGACAGCAAACCGCTGAATAGATGGCCACTGCACATATTACATGAACCTGAAACAGTGCAGAAACTAGCCAGTCTCCAGCCAGAAACCCCAGCGCAAACACGCGATTTCCTCTCATTCTTCTTACTTCTCACACAATGCAGAAAACATACTTGGTCCATACCGTACCATGTAGCCTCTGCTTCTTCCATCCTGAGATCACTTCTACAGCCTTTCCATCATCTCTTAACTAATAGTGAGATTGCTGTGATCCTTTTTCTTTCTTTCTAGACATGTCTTAATGAGCTGCCCAGGCTAGCCTCTAAATACTAGCCTAAAAGTTTCCCCTGCCCAGCCTTCTGAATAGCTGTGTGACCAATAAAAGTTTATACACAATGATAACATAGTTGTTTTCTTTAAAGTGATATTTACTCATAAAGCAAATGCTACTAAGCACCAGTTATGTGACAACAGAACCCAACAGTTGCAAACAGAATAAACTGGCCAGGCATGGTGGCACATGCCTTTTAATACCAGCACTTGGAGGCAGTTCAAAGCTAGTCTGGTCTATAGCCTGGCAAGTTCCAAGCCACTCAGGACTATACAGTAAGACCCTGTTGAGAAGAGAAAGAGAGAAAAAAATTGTCATAAGACATATGTTCCTAAAGTAAAGACAGATTAGCAGAGCAGAAAATAAGATGTATTTAAGATAAAAAGTAATAGCTGCTACAGAGACAAAAAGCAAAAGGGCCAATGTTGAAGAGCAATGTGAAAGGAATAGGGTTAGATCTAATGGCCAGCAAAGACCTCAATGAGAAGATGACACATGATTTATGGCCTTAATGAAGGAAGGGACCTAACATAAGGAACAGCAAGGACAAAAGTAGGAGAAGGCATGTGGCTGAAACAGAGTGAAGGGAGGCAAAGAGAATTATAGAAAATGAAGTCAAAGGCAATTAATAACGTATCTTAAACACAGTACACCGTGAGCTTCTAATCAACACAATATTAGTTTCTTATTTAAAGACCATATTTCACCTGTGTGCTAAACACATATACTATCACTGAGCTACATATATCCCCAGGTCAGCTAGCTATACGTTAAGCCAAAGTTTTCACCTCTCACCTATAAATGGAGTGGAAGTTGCTGCAAAGATAAACTGAGGTAATACATGTCAAAGTCCTTCTTTGGGACACACAGGACATTTGTGAATATAAGGTAACTGCTACCCAACACATGCTTCACTAAACACAATTCTGGCCACATGATCACTTTACATTGTCTTCTAATGTAATTCCAATATAGATTAGTAAATAAAAAATAGAGACAGTATGAACTATTTCAGGAATAACAGGGAGCAAGTGTGCATTTCTGATCCTTGGGATAATTAAACTATAGTAGGAAAGCTCATAGGCAATAGAAAGTATTTCATTTAATTTCACATTGGGAAGACAGGTAATAAATACTCTAGTAGAGAAGGCAAAAGAATGATCATTGGGGGCTGGAGAGATGGCTCAGTGGTTAAGAGCACTGACTGCTCTTCCAGAGGTCCTGAGTTCAATTCACAGTAACCACATGGTGGCTCACAACCATCTGTAATGAGATCTGATGCCCTCTGCTGGTATGTTTGAAGACAGCTACAGTGTACCCATATACATAAAATAAATAAATAAACCTAAAATAAATAAATAAATGATCACTGTAAGCCAGAGTGAAAAATAAGCACAACCTTGATGGTTGAGGAAGATTTTTTTAAGTGATTCAAGTATAAAAGGCAAGTGTATTCCAGACAAGGTCAATGTCATGATTATGGAGAAAACATAAGGTATTATAAAAATTGACTTGTATAAAGTAGAAACTTTCTGAATAAGACTTATAGAGCATAGGCGTAGAGAAGTTAGGACAAGTCAGGTCCTGCCAAACTAAATTTCTAATAGTTCTTTATAAGCACTGAGCTAGAAACCCAGCTCAATGGTAGAGTGCTTGGCTAGCACATGCAAGACCCTGACTTTAATCTTTAGTACAGACCCCTTCTCAAAAACAGGTGGAGCCAGGAGCAAGTCAGAGAAAACAGTTTATCCATTAATTCAAATGCTACAAATACTCAGGTAACATTTATGATTATGAGAACATCGAGATAATTATCTTATGTATGAGCTGTTCTAGCAAATAAACCTGTGGAGAAGTTCTAGGAAAATCCAGTGGTAGACAAATCAGAAGAAGTTGAAGGTAATCTAGGAATCCACCAAAGTGGAAGGCAGCTTATGGGACCAAGACCCACGGATCCTGTGCTTGCTTCATGGTCATGTTAGTTTAAATGAAAGCAAAGTATCCAGGCAGTGTCTATCAGAGAGCTGAAAAAAACCGTGGCCATGCCGACGCCAGTCAAGTGAAAGATGTGTTCCTTTAGTTGGAATAGAAGGGTCAATCAAAATAACAATAACCAGAAAAAACAACAAATATTTGGAAATGAGTAAGTGTAAATATCTGAAGTTCAAGAAGTCACAATGGTAAATTACAGCATTTGAAATGAGTGATGCCAACGTAAATTTAGAATAAGATCAAGAGAAATCAGGTTGAAAACATTCTAAATACAAGTCTATCATCCTTTACTAACAACAAATCTAGTGCATTTTTGTTCAATACTGTCTCCCAAAAGTTTTCCTTTACCTAAAAACTTAACTTATTCTTCCAGTCTTTAAAAATAAAAATAAACGCACATACATCTACAATAACAACAAAACCATCATAAACTTTAGCACTTATAAAAATACTCAATTCTTTGAGACTGGCTCTTAGCATGAAGCCAGCCCTGAGCTATAACTCACTAAGTAATCAAGACCAGCCAAGTCTTAAACTCATGATCCTGCTGCTTCAGCTGCCAGAACACTGGAATTACATGGATGTACCATGGCACCTTTAATTATATCTTTCTGTATAAATCTATAGGACAGTTCCTATTCTTAATGGTTTCTTACACTAACAGTATCTATAACTACAATAAATTCCTATGTGAATTTTAAAAATAAATATAGGTCTAGAGTTTTTAATAAATAGATGTCCAGAAACATTCTCCCATAAAACAGAAATAAGTACTTCTCCCTCACAGTTTCCCTTTAACAGACTGATGCTGACAAGTATTCAAGGGTTCTCACCTTCTAATAAAGAATATGGCAGTCTATAAAAATGTAAACCTTCTTTTCCTCTCTAAATTTAATAAACTTCTTAATAAAAATCTGAAGTATGATAGCATTAGTTCAGATCCTTAAGATGGCCTGTACTTCTAAACTGTCACACACAGTAAGTATAGTGTAGTCACTTACCACTTGACCTGTTTTTCCGACTTGATTTCCCACCAGTAAGAAGCATCTTGAGACTATTCCGAAACATGGTTGTGTTCTTTTAATATAAAACTACAAAAGAAAGCAGGTAAAGTAAGTTTAACAAGACATTTTTCCATTCAACATACTTCTAAGTTTAATTTTAAAAGCATACCAACAATAACTATGTGATACAGCTATACCTTTTGCTTTTACTTCTTTCTCTTTCTTCCCAATGCCACCCAAAACCAACGTCTACTTTTCCTGGTACTCTGGGCTTCACTCTTTAAAGTTCCCCTCTGTTGCACGTAGTTTTGTCTATACTGCTTTGTGTTCCCTGCTGGTTGCACACATGCACCTGCCCAGGAGCTATCTCAGATCCACGAATAGAAAACACACACATGTCAGTTATTCTTAAAATGCCTTGACAAACTCAATGACTGGGCACTCCTAAATCTTACCCTGGTACCCTAGGCCCAGTCAGAGAAGTGGCCAGAGGATACTCACATGGCTGGAGCACAAACAGTGTAGACAAAACTCCACTACACCCCTCCTCACCATGTGGCTGACCTCCACACTAGCTTGACTCAAACAAGATGGCTTTTCTCCTCTTCTCCATTCTCCTCCTTCAGGCTGCTGCCAAGATTTACAGATAGTTTGCCTTGGGGGTTCTCTTTTAAACTCTAAAAAAACTATTCTCAAGCTTCCATTTGAGTGGATTCCTAATTTTTTTTAATTAATGAGACTAAGAATTTCAATAAGAGACCCTGATTTCCCCAGTATCATATGCCAACCACAAATAAACTCCTCAAATTTTCTAGTAACATCAGCACTGAAGATTCACAGAAATAACGAGGTAGTGATAAATATATCCTTTATTTCATTCAAGTCTCCAATTCTGGAACAACTTTCCTGTCTCCTCTTCCTCCTCCATTTCTCCTTCTACCCACCTTCCCTCCTAACACACACACACACACACACACACACACACACACACACACACATTATAAAACTGCATATTTCCCATTAACAAACCAGAATTATTCCACATCTGAAGACTACCTATGTTTGCGAACCAGAGCCTCTCTTCTCTGCACTGTTCTGAGTCAAAGGAAAACCTGGCTGGGTTTTTCATCATATCCCCTAGTACTTGTTGCAAGGATATTGATTTTAAAAGTATCTTCCTTTTGTTTCTTGCCATTCTTCATTTTACTAAATAGTCATAACATTCTTTTGTATATCTAAAAATAAACAAAGCTTATCTTTACAAACCCTTGTGATCTAACTTACTGTGCCTATAGCTTTGCTCTTCTTTTCTACAAAATTTCTCTACATTGTTACATGCTTTTGTGTGTCCTATGAAGAAAATGGCACAAACATGAAAAACTTTTGTCAACAGAAAATATTCAATTCAAAGCACAAAGGATGGAAAATGTGGAAAAGTTTATTAGCACCATATGCAATCCACCAAAAAGGTGTAGCATACACAGAATTGAAAATTTGGAAAGCATCAAAAATTAGGAAGAAGTTATATTTGAGGTGATAAGAAGCAAGAATTTTCTAACTAATCAGATATATGAATCCCCGTTAGAATAAAATAAAAATAAATAAATAAAAATAAAAACAAGGGAATCACAGCCAAAGTACTAACAACATCTACAACAGAAAGAAATCTCTGAAACAGCTAAACAAAATGCTGTATGTTTAAAAATAGCAACAATCACTAGACTAAGAGATGCCTTTCAACAGAAGGAAGGGCAGGAAACAGTGGAAGACATCTTCCAGGAGTCTGACTGAGCTCTGCATTGTTTAATGAAGATTAAGTAAAAAGGTCGTTTCAAAACAAAAGAAGATTCTAACTGAAAGTAGGTACCAATCAAGAAGTCTATTCTCAGGCAGAGCGATGGTTCAGCCTCTATACGCACTTGCCACCAAGTCTGATGACCCGACTTCCATTCCTGGAACTTACATGGCAAAAGACATAACCCACTAACTACTTCAAGTTGCCCTCTGACCTTCGCACATGAACCATTGCACAAGCATGCCCATATATTCACACAATTAAATAAATGTTTAAAAAATCTATCTAGATTTTAAAATTCTTTGAAAAATACAAATAAAATAAAAATTATTTTTAGAAAGAAAAGGAAACAATATTTGACTAGCAGAAGGGCAAAAAAGGGAGTTCTTCCAATAAGGAAAATAATACTTAAAAGTCAGGTAAACAAGAAGAGTCACAGAACAGGTTAACATGATTGCCACATATGAACTGCAAAATAGGATCAATATCAAAAGCTTGATAACTTTAAAACACGTGTAAAAAGCTGGGAACAGATGAGTGGTACAGAGCTTCCCAGAACACATAAGGCCCCAGGTCCACTCCCAGCACTACAATAAATAAAGCACAGGCAAACTGAAAATGCTGACAACAACCTAAAAGCTTCTAAGATACCTTTGGTCTGGAAATAGTAATACTATAATAATACTGTAATTAGTGAGAGTCTTTATCTGATGGATCTAGGGTGCAAAGACGAATGTACATATCACAACTCAGCAATGTTTACAGCAGACTTACATATTTTATGTAAAGGTTAACTCAAAAGAACAAAATGAACAAGGTTTGAGCTCTGAAGATTTCATGCTTAAATAGTTAGCAAGAGCATACTAATGAGTACATTTTACTTGAAATGAATCAAAAAATATATAAAGGCATGCAAAGGTAGATATAATATAAAAGCAATCACAGCACAAAAACAAAAAAATGCTAACCAGACCCTGTCTCAAACATTCCCCCAGCCCCAAGACAAGCAAACAAAACTGTTAATTATGTATATTAAGCAGTGGCTACTCATGTGTTAACTAAAACTAAGATTTAAAAACCCATGCTGTCAATGACTTAGAGCTGCTCCTCATTTCTAAGAATTGCCCTTTGCTTAATGGAATCACTTTGCCCAGAAAGTTTCATATCTCATTGTCCTGTGGAAGGCTCTCAGCCAATGATGAAAACAGAGGTACAAAAGATAAGCTTTCTTAACTCCAGGAGATGACTGTGTGATAAGATTCATATATAAAGTATTCATCAATATGTCTCATACTTTATTTTTAAAACGTCATCTAAGGGGCTAGAGATAACACTCTGGGTTAGAGCACAGTACAAGGACCTAAGTTCAGTTCCAACTACCCTTGTGAAAACACCTGGGTGGGTGGTAACTCCAACACTGCAGGGACTGGAGACAGGAAGACTGCCAGCCGAGCCCTAGGTTCTACGAGACCTTGTCTTAAAGAAACAATACAGAATAGTGATAAAGCAGGATACACAACATCTTCCTCTGGCCTCTGAGAGGGTAAGCAACAAGTATGCATACCCTCACCATGCACACGTGTGAGCATGCACCATAAACACACATGCACACGCACACGTGCGCGTCAACTCCCAGCTAAATACAAGCTTCAGGATGGCAGAAAAGTTGCTTAATTCACTGTTATGTGGATAAGCTCTAACACACACGAAACACTGAAAATGTATCTTTATCAAATGTATCAATTATATTTTTGTCTGTATATTACTGTCCACATCAAACTCTTGCAGAGAAAGTTGATTTTTACGAATCTGAAAAAGAACAAGGAGGAGGATATGGGAGGAGTTGGAAAGAGAAATGGGAAGGGGGAATTATATAATTATACTCTCAAAAAATAAAAGAAATACTTTTTCTAAGAAGGAAGGGATAAAAAAGGAAAAAAGAATTTGAGGGAGACTCTATTAACAGGGAAATATTTAAATCTTTGCACCAAGATACTATAAATAAGAGAATAATATAATGGGTGGTTTTAAAAGATACAGTATATCTATTTGTTCTAAATCTCCCCAATGTTTATCCCTAAGGTAGAAAAGTTAAAAGTCAGAGTGATATGCACAGTAAGGTCTAACTACTACAATATTTTATCTATGCACTTATGAACATATGTAACATAAACACATGAGGGAATACACAGAAAATTTTACATAATTCCCACAGGAGGTGCATACAGGATTGAAAAGGTGAAATAAATAAAATTCAGTGTGGCATACTTGTTCACCATCTCTAATTTCAAAATGTTTTCATTACCTGAAAGTATTCATCACTGAAATCAGCACAAATTATAATTACTAAGTCAGTAAGATTCTCTGTGAAACTCCACAAAGGAGACAAAATATCAGAGTGGAGGATGAAAGAGTTCCCTGAACAAATACTTGGCTTTCAAGTTGACTGTCTCCTCAGAGAATTTCCTTATCAATCTATGATGTCCCATTATATGACACTAACACCAAAAACATGGAAAATTGTTTCTGAGAGCTTAGATTTGTAGATTCTTTCATTCTTTTAACATCTAATAAAAAGTTTTAATGCTAGACTATACATATGAGTGAGTGTGTGTGTGTGTGTGCATATATATATATATATATATATATATGTGCCTTTTGTCATCAGTTCAATAGACGGTCACATGGAAAGGGTTGTCTTTACAGAACTGCAACTAATGTCCCTATGTCACTTGCTTTCCTTGGTTTCTCCCAGCCATAAAAAAACAGATCTACCATGTCTACGAGGTTAAACTATTATTTTAGAGGAAAAAGGCTAAGCATGAAACAGTGTCAGATAACATCAAGAAATGACCAAAACATACATAAACACTGCAAAATGTCTTATTTTAGCACATACTGTGGCTAAAAAAATCAATAATTTTATTCTTAGGGTTTGCAATGCTTCTAGATTCTAAGATATATGACAATAAATGGCCCACTGCTTTGGGTCTATTTTTCTAGTATTAGCTACAAATATATAAAATTTCTTCTACTCTTTTATTTATTTGGTGCTTATTAAGATCAGATTAATACAGGGAATCATTTTTTAAAGGTTAATAAATAGTTATTGCCTAAGATGAACATCTAGTATGATAGTGAGAGTCTAGGAAAAAAATGAACCCAAGTACCATTCACAACAAACAAGAAACAGAGATTTAAGTGAACAAGCATATATTAAGTGTATGCTTTAGCATAAGAGAATAATTTCTGTTAACAATTCCTCAAAGTAAATACAAAGTCACCTTTACAC